GTTGGAAAATGAAATCTGCATCTCCAAAAAGTTGGTCAGCTGCAGGAAGCATGAAGTGCTCTAAAACTTCCTGGTATGTGGCTGCGTTGACCCTGGACCTCAGAAAACACAATGGACCAACACCAGCAGATGACATGGCACCCCAAACCATCACTGACTGTGGAAACTTTACACTGGACTTCAAGCAACGTGGATGAAGTGCCTCTCTTCTTTTCCTCCAGACTCTGGGACCTTGATTTCCAAAGGAAATGCAAAATTTACTTTCATCAGAGAACATGACTTTGGACCACTCACCAGCAGTCCAGTCCTGTTTCTCTTTAGCCCAGGCAAGACGCTTCTGACGCTGTCTGTGGTTCAAGAGTGGCTTGACACAAGGAATGCGACAGCAGAAACCCATGTCTTTCATACGTCTGTGTGTGGTGGTTCTTGAAGCACTCACTCCAGCTGCAGTCCACTCTTTGTGAATCTCCCCCACATTTTTGAAGGGGTTTTGTTTCACAATCCTCTCCAGGGTGCGGTTATCTCTCTTGCTTGTACACTTTTTTCGACCACATCTTTTCCTTCCCTTCGCCTCTCTATTAATGTGCTTGGACACTGAGCTCTGTGAACAGCCAGCCTCTTTAGCGATGACCTTTTGTGTCTTGCCCTCCTTGTGCAAGGTGTCGATGGTCGTCTTTTGGACAACTGTCAAGTCAGCAGTCTTCCCCATGATTGTGTAGCCTATAGAACTAGACTGAAAGACCATTTAAAGGCTTTTGCAGGTGGTTTGAGTTAATTAGCTGATTAGAGTGTGGCACCAGGGGCCATCAATTTTGAACCTTTTCACAATATTCTAATTTTCTGATATGATGAATTTGAGATTTTCATTTGTTGTCATTTGTAATCATCAAAATTAAACAAAATAAACATCTGAAATATATGAGTTTGTATGTAATGTATGAATATAATATACAAGTTTCACTTTTTAAATGGAATTACTGAAATCAATCTACTTTTTCATGATATTCTAATTTTATGACCAGCACCTGTAGATAAAAATGAGAATCGGCTGCAGTCCACCAAGTTGCTGTTCTGATGAATAAACACATCGTTTCAGCTGTGACCCAGCATCCACTCATCATTTTTCACATTAAACTCCTCTAAATGACCCAGAGCCACACGGTTCAAACCTCAGGCTCTACATCATCCATTATGGTGACAAGGAGAACCTTTGGGGGGCTGGGAAAGTCCTCTTTGCTCCATTTGGACATTTAAAGGGACGGGGTAAATCCACTGATCTCTACTTATTCACCAGATTGCTGATTTCCCGAAAAAATGAAGCCGCCGGCCGCCATGCTGGTGCTCGCCACTCCCACAGTGACAGCAGTAAAAATTAGATTTGACACTAAGCAGATTTTATTTGTCATTTTGTTTACACAAGTGTGAAACAAAAAGAAATTTCGTTTGGAAACAGCTCTCTGGACAATTTCATCTTTTTTAAAAGTGCAGCCTTGAAAATTTGTTACAATTACTGTAAATTTACAGTTCTAACATTTTTTTTATATAAATAATGATAAAATATAGTAAATATAATAAAATACAATACAATAACCCATTTTACAAAACATTCAGCAGTAAAAATGCCTCCATCTGCAGCATTTGGCTGCAAAAACAATCAGTTTTCTGGCTGCAGGAAGACGTTCCACAGGTCATCTCACAATCAGCGGATGAACTAACCAAGAAAATCCATCTATACGCCGAAGGATCCTATAGTATCGTCTGTAGCATCAGGGCAGTAACTACCATTGAGGACGCCGAGGTCGTTTACTCTGTATTCTATTAATTTCACTAATGCTTAGATTTTGATATAAACTAAAATAGATTAGAGTGAAACTGACTGTAGGACTGTAGCAGCAGCCATTTCTGCAGCAGTCTATCATTAAAACACTCGCAAAGATGGTTTACTATTGTCTACTTATGGCTTCATACAGGAAAGAGTCAAACAGGTTGTTTCTTCTTAGTCGGAGAGCTTCTCACACAGCGTTTATTTTATGCGTGCTCTGTATCACACAGCAGCGCATAAATTACTTTACAACCTGTATGCTGTTTAACCTGGCTTTGCAATGCAAAACAGAAATATACTTTACAAAGAAGATGATCTTGGTTTCCAACTAAACTTTGAGGTGTTTTATATTTGAAGACCGATAGCTGGCACAACTACCCAATAAAAAAAGTAGCTGTTTAATCATCCTAATTCGACACGCACTGTCGCTATGGCAATGAGATGTTCTCACTCTTGACCTCTGTATTTTTGGGCCCTGCATACGGCCCTGTGTGGCTAACATTAGTTTGGCTATCTCAGACCGACTGGAAGAACATGACTAAATCAGCCATTGACAATGGGTCTAATGTTAGAAAAGAGAAAGTAAATAGAAAGCAATTCACAGGCAAATGTCAATGTTTGTTGCATTTCTCATTTATATTATTATAATATATTGTATGCTATATTGACCGGGAAAAAAACAGGTCAAACATTTGACAAAAACACACACACACACACACACATATATATATATATATATATATATATATATATATATATATATATATATATATATATATATATATATATATATATATATATATATATATATATATATATATGTTAGAGACTGACATTTTTTCGGATGGGAGTCAGTATTAGTAACGATCACGTGATTGGGACGGTACAGGATTAAACATTAACGGGAGCAGACAGGAGCGGGAGCAAACCAATAGTAGCTAAAAAAAACTAGGATCAATGCCAAAAAATAAAATAAAATGTCGTTTTTTTCCTTGAAGCCTGCATTATAATGCGAGTCAAAAAAACGACACGACCCAAAAACCAACAGTGCTTCCGCTCTGAGTTTTACATCCACGCTCAAAAACAACAAGAATGGGAGTGGTGGAGGAGCGGGAGTCATTTGACCAGGAGTGGGACGGGACAGGATTTAGATTTCTACTCTGGCCCGGGATCGGGACAGGACACCATTTTTTTCTGTGACAGGAGTGAAAATCCACTCCCATGTCAGTCTCTAATATATATATACACACATCATCACTTTTGGCACATCTGTAATATCATGCTCCTCTAACACATTAACTTTACATGATTTATAGACTTAATTGACTTCATAATGACTATGCAATGCGATTTTTAGATTTTCTGATCAAAGTTTCTTCTTCCACATGTTGCTTTGATCCCCAGACAGCAAACTGAAAACAGAACTTCTTTTCTCGCTGTTCTATAAAAGCCAGATTTGTGGAGGGTAGGAGTCACAGCATTAAACATTAACAGACTTTTAGCTGTAGAATCTGCAGACATTAATCTCCTGGATAGTTTATCTAAAAATGAATGTGTTGGTTGGTCTGCAGCTAGTTTATCTTCTCTTCATGTTCAGATGACGGATTGAAAAGTTTGCGTTAATGTTCATAAACTAACTATGCTGTAAACTTCTCCACCATCGACGTCTTCATGATGGTTGTTTTCAGATTTATCTAACAAAACTTTGAGGCTTTCACAGACCTGCTGCCTTTACAAACAAGGCTAAAAAATATTTTTATATAAAGAAACATTTTACAGTTTCCAAACCTTAACGGCCATTTCAAAACAGCAAATACTAAAACTTTGAGGTAGATCATTTTTGTTAGATTTATTTGCAGTTCTATTGGTTCATGTTATTATTCTATAAGTCTTGTGGTTTTTTTTTTACAGATGGTCATGGCACAGGGTTTATACAGGAACGAGTAACTCTAATTTAATACTTTTTAATGCACTTTTAATGCTCTTAGAAATTATTTTAATGCCATCAACAAGTAGCCATGAGCCTCACATTTATATATATAAAAACACGGCAAAATCCTTCGTCATCTTCACCATCAACAGGCTGCAGCCTGGAGCTTCTTTTCCAAACGTACGGCTTTACAATCAACCACAAGCAGTTCAGCGCAAACACCCGGAATATATCTGACAATATCGTTTTAATAAACTTTTTTTTTTCTAAATAAAGCTTTTAAATGCCACAATAATCACATTTAATTAATTTTTATCCCAATTAAGGCCTTAAGTCAAAAAATAATAATTGGATGACTTTTAATGATTTGCTGGATCCCTGTGGCATCTGTAAAGCTATTATCTTTTAGAGGAAGGAAGGAAGGAAGGAAGGAAGGAAGGAAGGAAGGAAGGAAGGAAGGAAGGAAGGAAGGAAGGAAGGAAGGAAGGAAGGAAGGAAGGAAGGAAGGAAGGAAGGAAGGAAGGAAGGAAGGAAGGAAGGGTGTTGTTTTTTTATTTTGATTCTTAGGTCCTACCATAGAGATGCCCTCTGATTTACCCGTTTAGATATAATAAAGTTTAAAAACCAGGATGTGGAGAATGTCCTTAATACCACAGCGACATTAACAGCTGCTGATTAGGAACATTCTTCGTGATTTAATTAATTTATCAATGGACAACATTTACTTTACTAAGGTTATAGCTGATGTCTCTACAGGTGATGCAGATCTTCAGCAGTAGGTTTTCCACATATTGGTCTAGTTAAGTAAGCAAGCAAGCAAGCAAGGAAGGAAGCAAGAAAGGAAGCAAGAAAGAAGGGAAGGAAGCAAGCAAGGAAGGAAGGATTATATTGAATAAAGCTCAGAAATGTCACATTTATTAAGCTCTTATATTGTTTTCTCCAGACTTGATAAAACATTAAATTAAGTGAACGTTGAAGGAATGAGGTGGAAATGTCTTGAGGGTGTGAAAACTTTTCATCAGCTAGAGACATCCCAGTTCATCATCAGTGGCGGTCTGTTCATTCCTGCTCTCCTTCCTTCACCTTTTATTTTCTGAATGACTTGCTGTGTTTCTGGCTGAGGTGGGGGGGTCGCTCCTCCCTCCCTCCCTGGGGTCATTCCATGGGAAAAGAAAGTTTTCCTGCATCCCTGAGAGAAATCCAGTTATTTTCGGACATCACGTCAGCGGTTTGAGTTGCAGCCCAGAAACTTCTTTCCATCACCCAGCTCCCTTTCTTCTCTCTCTCTCTGAACTTGTTGCACAGCTGTGTTGTTCCTTGTTCTCACGCGCGGAGCCGCGCGCCTGCAGCGGCGCACACATGAAGCGGCGGCTTGAGGGAAACGTCAGCAGGTTTGGTCTTGGAGCGGCTTGCAGCGTGACATTGCAGAGCCCGTTGTGCTTTAAAGAGGGATGCATGGAGGCAGATGACGCACTGAGCCACAGGTATTCATTTATGACATTTCTGAGGATCTCTGCAGGGGGCTGGCGATCTGCAGAAAATCTATTCTCTTCTTTGAAACCTGCTTCATTTTTTTCATCCATTTTATTGCTTATTTTTTTGCTCTTTATTTTGGAAAACACCTGCCCATGTGATAACCTTGAGCCTGTGCCACGCTGAGACAACAGGTTCATTACGCACGACTCTCTCTCTAAAAAAATATGTTTTTCCTCCATAAACGATTAATTTATCCCCATAAAATAGCTGGATCTGATTAATCCTGAGCATATGTGCTTGCATGTGTGTTTTTTTTTTGTTTTTGTTTTTAGTCCCCCCCTCAGTGAGAGAGCGTGCACGAACGTCAGCTCGGGGAGGGCAAAGCCTGCTTAAAATGCAGCGAATGTGAGAGACGTGCCCACAGTCCAGACTACAGCAGCGCCTGGACGGGAAAGGTGAAGCGGGGAGGGGGCGGGGGGCACCAGCAGCCCACCCGCAGACGTGACGAGAAGGAGACCCACGGAGTCACCCAGCTGGAGTCCTGAGACGCACAGAGGAGGAGGAGGAGGAGGAGGGGAGTCAGGGAGGACTGAGGGGCGGGAAGCGTCGCCCTTTCCTTGGGGGGGAACCATGACAGTGGTGCCCGGGGAGAACCTGGATGAGACTGTGGCACTGGCCGCGCTGTCCGCCCAGGATGTCTACGACCCGGAGAGAGCCGAGAACCAGGACTGCTGCGAGCGGGTGGTCATCAACATCTCCGGGCTGCGCTTCGAGACGCAGCTGAAGACTCTGGCCCAGTTCCCGTCCACCCTGCTGGGGGACCCGCGCAAGAGGATGCGCTTCTTCGACCCGCTCCGGAACGAGTACTTCTTCGACCGGAACCGACCCAGCTTCGATGCGATCCTTTACTACTACCAGTCCGGGGGTCGGCTCCGGAGACCCGTCAACGTGCCGGTGGACATCTTCATGGAGGAGATCAAATTCTACGAGCTCGGGGAGGAGGTGATCGAGAACTTTAAGGAGGATGAGGGCTTCATCAAGGAGGAGGAGCGGCCGCTGCCGGAGAACGAGTTCCAGCGGCAGGTCTGGCTCCTGTTCGAGTACCCGGAAAGTTCCGGACCCGCCAGGGGCATCGCCATCGTGTCCGTGCTGGTCATCCTCATCTCCATCGTCATCTTCTGCTTGGAGACCTTACCCGAGTTCAGAGAGGAGGCCCGGGTCTTTGAGGAGCTCATCCTGTCCAATGGAACCGCGCGCGCCGACCAGCCGAACCCCTTCACGGACCCTTTCTTCATCGTGGAGACGCTCTGTATCATCTGGTTCTCCTTCGAGCTGCTGGTCCGGTTCCTAGCCTGCCCCAGCAAGCCCGCCTTCTTCAAGAACATCATGAACACCATCGACATCGTGGCCATCATGCCCTACTTCATCACGCTGGGGCTGGAGCTGGCGGAGCACCAGGGGAACGGCCAGCAGGCCATGTCCCTGGCCATCCTCCGGGTCATCCGCCTGGTCCGGGTCTTCCGGATCTTTAAGCTCTCCAGGCACTCCAAGGGGCTGCAGATCCTGGGGAAAACCCTGCAGGCCAGCATGCGGGAGCTGGGGCTGCTCATCTTCTTCCTCTTCATCGGGGTCATCCTCTTCTCCAGCGCCGTGTACTTTGCAGAAACCGATGACCCGCATTCGGGCTTCAGCAGCATCCCGGACGCCTTCTGGTGGGCGGTGGTTTCCATGACGACGGTGGGTTACGGAGACATGTGCCCAGTGACTATAGGGGGGAAGATCGTGGGCTCCCTGTGCGCCATCGCCGGCGTGCTGACCATCGCGCTGCCGGTTCCGGTCATCGTGTCCAACTTCAACTACTTCTACCACCGGGAGACCGAGCACGAGGAGCAGTTCCAGTACACGCACGTGACCTGCGGCCAGCAGCAGCAGCAGCCGTTCGGTGAGTTCAAACGGACGGACAGCCGGCCGTCCCTGTCCAAGTCCGACTACCCGGACAGCGAGGACGCGGACTCCGTCAAATACACCAACTGCAGCCCGCAGAAAGCCTTCAGCGGCAAACTGACGGACGTCTGAGCGCCTGGAGACCGGCGTCTGCTCTGCCATCAGCGGGGACGATTTCAGCTGGAGCCACGGGACGGAAACACGACCTCACCCCCCCCCACACGGTCTTCCATCCTGCAGGAAAACTGATCAGTAGCACTTTATTTACATTAGTGAGCAGCTTTAAGGTTTACATTCTCCTCAAACGGGACCAAATCTGACCCCAGCCTGCAAGGCAACAAGCAGGGTTTACTGCCCCATATGGCTAAAGCCTAATAAATTCAATTAATCAGGCTTGATTTAGCTTTTCCGATCCAACGGCGCCATCTTGCGGTCAGTGCGGCACACCGCGCCTTAGTGGCAGATGCAGTTTCCATGGCAACCTTCCAGACTTTTCTGCGTTGTCTGCTGCAGGAACATAAGTGAGGCTCCAAACCACCATGTTGTGGAAGCCTCCATGTTGTTAAAATCCACACAGACGCGCTTCAGATACAATAAACAGCTAATTATTAATCTGATTAATTAAAATTTTAAACCTCTTGTTGAAAAAAAAAAGTAAAATATTATAATCCTCAGCTTGGTGATATGTTCAAACATGTTTGAGAGCTAAAGCTTTCCCAGAACTGATATTATTGTACTGAAAAAAATATATAGTTTAAGTAAAATATAGAGAGTAAGAAATATTCAAAGTTTTTGTAATTTAATTTATCAAAAATATAAATAAAATTACTTCAGAAATGAAGAGAAAAAAGGAAAATAATATATTTATGCTGTATAGTAGCACAAAAAAAGCTAAAACATTCAATCTTTTGACAATAAAACATTAGTAAGACCATATATTTAATAGATAAATTAATATTTATCTGGTTAAAAACAGTCAAGTCAGACCAGAATTTTAAAAGCCTAAAATAAATCTATTGTATTATATTTTTGTCCCAAATTAAATAATAATTCAGTGTTGATGCACAGAAAAGAAGATGCGAAATCTGCCACAAAGTAGAAAATAGGAGAGAAATTGTCTTTATTTTAATTTAGCTTTCATCTTGGCTTTACAATACATAAAAGAAGGAAACACAAACTGTGATAGTCTTTGAAAACTTTAATCTTTAGATGAAAACATCAGTCGTTTCATAGAGCTCCCCAGGAGACCCGCCCCATACCTGATCCCAGCTGAAGGTCACTCATGGTTGGAGCTTCCTGATCCCTCAGCGCCTGGATGAACCACGGAGCTGATCTGCAAAAAGAAAAACAGTCTGTTTAACGGGCTGATGGAGTAAAAACCTTCCCTCTGCAAAAAGAAAAACAGTCTGTTTAACGGGCTGATGGAGTAAAAACCTTCCCTCTCCCAGTGGAGTTTTCTCAGACTGACGGATGTTTAACAGCTCAGACCAACGCTGGGTTCTGGTCCCCATAGGTGAGTCATCAAACTTTCTGTTTTCAATTCCTGCCTGAACAGCATGTTACAAGTCTTTTTTTCTCCAGCATTTTATTGGGAAGCAGTGGGCTGCCACTGTGTGGCGCCCAGGGAGCAGTGTGGGGTCAAGGGTCTTGCTCAGGGACCCAGAGTGGCAGTCTGTGTAAGTGGGGCTGAAACTCAGAACCTCTGGAACTGAAGCAAACGCCCTAAACCACTTGGCCGCCACTTCCCAGTCTGAAGGTTAAAGGGTTTTCATTTCTTAAACTATTTGGACAAAAGTGAGTTGATGTTTGGGTTAGTAATCAGGTTAATGTTTCCATCTGACCACAGGGTGGCAGTAGAGCAAGCCATAGGATGTTAGAGGTATACACAGTCCTGTTAAAAGACAGATTCTTTTCATGTAAAAACCAAAAACAAAAGATTTTCAGAGCAGATATCTTCAAACGGACATTTATCTGAAGGACTTTTTGATGTTATTATCTAGACGAGAAGACATCTGTTTGTTTGTTTGTTTGTTTTTTTTTTGGGGGGGGGGGGGTGTATGCTTTGCGTCATCACACTGGAAGATGAAGCTCCTCCTCATCTTCAGATTTCTAGCAGGTTTTGTACCAACAGAGAACTGTATTTGTACCCATTTATTAATTATCTTCCTCTCAACCGTTCTGGCCTATAAAAACAGGCACATAGATGACACACACATGATGCTGCCACCACCGTGCCTCTCTATGGGTTCAGTATTTTCTTTCTCATGTAGGGAGTTGCCGACTACAATTTATTCCTTTTTTTTTTCAAATATTTCAGGTTTGGCTCATTAAAAATCAATTCAGTTTGAATATTGATTCAAATTTAAAACTGCATTTGTTTTCTCCTAGCATATAAAGAAGAAACTAAGCTGTTTCTTCTAATTTTGTATTTCATAAATATTGAATAAAATAGGAAATTAACTTAAATAGAATAATGGTAATAAATGCATCAAGTTAACTTGTTAATAAAAAAAAATAAAATCGTCAGTGCAATTAATTTATACAGAAAAAATGACTTAAAATAATGAAACCTCCAACTTTAAAGCAGTTTTTCAACGGGCAGCAGTCTGGAAACCCAAAGCCTTGGATCTAAACATTTAGGGAACAAAGCATTCCTCTGGGACCGAGTGAGGGAGAATTAATAATTTTACCTAAAATCAAAATAATACTTTTATTATTTTATTTGATTTTCCAGAACAAGTTTTCGACAACTTTAGCTGCCTCACTTGTAGAACTGTTTTTGCTTTAGACATTTAATGTTTATTTTAACCAATGATGATAAAACCTGATTAGAAATTGGTGAAAGGATTGAAATGATGTGCTTTTTAAACTGAAATAGATAAACAGAAGGAAATCTAAATCTGCAGAATGAATCCAGAGAGATTTTAAAATCATGGCTGCCAGTTACACGCAGACCCAAACCCATCACGGTTTCCCTGATGATTAATTCAGCAGAAACAAAGGTTAAACTGGGACCCTCAGCCCAAAACAAGCAGAGAGCTGAACTGAAACCTTTCAGGTCTGCTGGATGTTGTTCTACTGCTGTTGGCCTGCAGGTGGCAGCAGATCAATGAGATGTGAAATGGCTCCTTTTTAATAAGGGTCACTTTCTGCAACATGGAATGCCCTTCAGATCCTAAAATCCAGAATGTTATCCTGACCTGAATTCGATAAAATGATGTAATGAAGGGCAGCGAGCAGATGATGTTGGATATCATCAGAGGATAAACTTCAGTCTGGGATCAGACTGCTCAGCTTATGTTAGTTTAGTTCTGACATCTGTCCTGCAATTTGCTGCTTTTCCTTCATCCAGACGGCCGGATCCATGGTTTCAGTACGCAGCTTCACGGCTCATTAAAAAGTGATGAAGAGAACCTTTAGAAGTTGGATCTAGCTGAATGATTGAGGAAACAGGAGCTGATCATGTGGAAGATCTCAGACAGAGAGGGGCTCAGGTTAGACTGGCCGTCTGAGAGAAGAAATGAGGAAGAGGAATGAATGTGACAAATTAAGAGGAATAAAAAAGGAGAAGGCCTATTGGCCATCGTCCATGAAGCAGCGTCTCCATTCTCACAGCTGCAGACATGACAGCTCAGAGAAAGATCAAACTAACTGCCTCCACCTGGAGGGACTTTAGTCCAGACTTCCACCTCATCATGAAGCAGAGCAGGCGGAGATCCTCTCTGACAGCTAACGTTAGCGTCCATGTCACCGCCGTCCCAAAGCACAGAGGGTTCACCTGGAAACCTCACAGAGTCCAGAGGAGATGATGGCGGCCGGCAACCACACAACTTTCATCATCAGCTGCTAAAATCAGAAGCTTTGATTTTCAAAATCCTTTCTAATGAGACAATTACTGGAAGTTCTGCAAAATATATGAAGCACGATCTGCTTTAAAGTCCAGATAAATGTTCTCATCCAAACAGCAACAACAGTTTATAAATCCGCGCATATTCTGACAAAATACTGCTAAATACTTTAGAAAAATAAATACATCTGAACAAAAATCCATCAGATTAAACAACTGGGCGACCCCGATGTCGGTCATATTATTAAAAGAAACAAAAGTCTTGAGTGGATATTTAAATGAAAAACAGACATTTCATTTGTGAAAAAAATGTTTTAGTCCATAAACCAAAAAAGCAAACAAAGAAAACTACAAAGTTCAAACTGATATTAGGCAAATATCCACTAAATATTTTCTAAAAGACATACAGCTGAAATGAAAAACAAGTCAAAAGAAAAAGAAATTTAATTAAAAATTATTGTATTGTAATTTTCTTTTGTAATATTTTTCTTTTCAATCATTTTATAATCATTTATAAAAAAAGTTTTTCACAAAAGAAAAAGAAAAAAAAACAATAAGCCTTTTATTGTGTTTCAGTTTTATTGAAAATATTAAACCTTTAATTAATGCAAAGGAACAAACACAAAAAATTATGCAAAAAGACACATATCACTGATAAAGACAAGGATTCTTAAAAAAAAAGAAAATGATGAAAGCAAAATAAAATTGAAAATGAGACAAATAACTAATTTAAAACTGAAATATTATTTGATCTGGTATCTGATTTATAGCAATCAGTATTTTTAGTTTGTTTCAAAAATGAGTCACTACCCCTAACTAAATCCAGATAATACGATGAAATAAGACAAAAACTTTATTAAAGTCTCATTTATTTTGAAAGACCAAAAACGCATAATTGTTTCGCTGAAGCAGATCTTAGAACTTCTTCTGGACTTATTTATTTTGTCCTTTACAAAGATTTATTAGAATACATTTTAAAGGGAAACAGTCTTGAACTTTACTCGCCCTTTTTTATTTAATTTAGCAAAATCAGATGCTTTGGTTTAACTTTAATCTTTAGGTTTTTAATCTATTTTCTCTTCGTAGATTTACAGCATAGAGGTAAATTATCAGAGAACAGGTGAATCTCTGCACAGCGTTTGTCATTCAGTCGCTGTTATTTAAGGCGGCCCGTGAATGACAAACACACCGCCTTAAACTGTCTGAGCAGCTGCTTAGCAACAAGATCACAATAACATGTTTACACAGCTTCTGCAGGTGACAGGCTCAGCATGGCGCCCCCTGCTGGGTGAAAACCTCCACATTCTTTAGGTAAAACCAAACAGCACGCCCCCCTTTTTGGTTCTTAGTCACCATGGCGACAACAGA